AAAGGACGGGAAGGATGAGGAGGAATAGGAATAGGAGGAGGAGGAGCCCAGATGCTCCACGATGGAAAAATTTCCAGCGCGCGTGATCGCGCTCGAAATCGCCGGGAAAACCGGTGATTTCGATAGCGCGCGATGGAAACGCAGGTTTTCAGAAGGTTTTGCTGCGCTCGAAATTAAATCGAGCGCGCTGGAAATCTCGCGCTCGAAGTGTTCAAACCACCGCGCTCGAAATTTCAACATTCGAGCGCGGGGTCGCTGTCGAAATTCGCGTTCGTCGCTATCGAAATTTGCGCCCGTCGAATCCGCGCCCATCGCTCTGGAAATCGTCGTGAAGCGCTCTTCACGCTCCTCCTCGTGCCCTCTTCCTCCTCCCCCTCCTCCCCGTCCTCGTCCTCCTCCTCCTCCTATCTTCCTCCTCCTCCGTATCTATATCCTTATCATTCTCCGTGTCTTTCTGCTTCTCCTTCGCCTCCTCGCCCTCCTGTTCCATCTCCTTCTCCTTATGTTTCCTTCTACTCCCTCACCCCCTTTCCTGAACAGAGCGCGAAGGCGTCTCGGGCGAGGAAAATGATTGGAGGAAGAAGTTGAGGAGGAGGAGGAGAAGGATGATGATAAAGGTGGTGATGACGATATGGATGAGACTCGCGACAACGAGACTAAGGAGGATGACGAGAAGGAGAGGGGAAGGGAGGGGGGGAGGGAGAGGGGGACGAGGCAGAGCAGGAGGATGATGAGAATTTCTATGAGTGGGTGGGGGAGGAGAATGAGGATGATGATCAGGAGGAGGATAAGGAGGATGAGGAGTAGGAGCAGCGAGGAGGAGGAGGACGAGGAGGACGAGAGGAGTGGGTAGGATGATGAGGAGGAGGATGTGGGGCGGGGGGTAGATGAGGAAGAGAAGGGATGACTTGAGTGGTGATGGTGATGCTCAGGTGGCAGGAGGGGCAGCAAGGAGGAGGAGGAGGATAATGGATGAGACGGATCAGGAGGAGGAGATGGAGGGGGAGTGATGGGGCGGGGAATGAGGATGGAGCACGGGAAGGGAAGTTGAAGAATATGAGGAAGATTAGGATGAGGATGAGGATACGGAACACACGTGGGGCTCCCGCTCGAGACTTCCTCCGTATTTCAAGGTGGCAGGCACGGCCACAATTCAGATCTCTGTCCGCCCCCCGTTCGCTCCATCTCCCTCCCTCCGCCCAAGCGTCCTCGCACCCTAGCTGCCTTGAATCAATCATCTGCTATCCTTCGCTCTCGTCTGCTGATCCTGCCCTTCCCTTCTGCCCCCCCCCTCCTCAGAGCTCTTGTTTGGGCTCGGGCGCCATGGCGCAGACTTCGTGCCTGGTCCTCAGGGTCGGCGGGCCCCGCCCGCCCCCAGGGCTCGGCGAGCCGCGGGTGGTCATGGAGGTCGGGGAAGTACCTCCAGGCCTTCCCATGGTCCACTCCCGCGGCAGGCCCGCCAGGCCCAAACGGGGTTGGATCGGGCCTGCGCTGCGGGAGGCGCCGCCCTGTCCGTGGCCAGGCTGCCCCGACGTGGTCGCGGTGGGCAGGGACTCGCCCCTGGCGGTTTGGCGGTGCCCCCCCCGCCTGGCACGTGGACGATGGGTGGGCTCCAGGGCAGCCTGGGCGACTCACCATCACGCCCACGCTCCCCGACGGGCTGCGCATGACGTGGTCCGTGGGCGACGCGCAGCACGCCCAGGAGTACAGCAGAATCGTGGCCTTGCCGTTCCGCTACTACTACAGCAGGCGCTGACGGCACTGCTGGGGTACAAACCAAACGTCCTCCTACCCCCCTCCCTCCCTCCCCCCTCCCTCCCCCCCATCCGTCCGTCCCTCATTCCTTCCATATGTCCGTCGTCAATTGTCGTTCCGTGCCCCCTGTCTTCCTTGCGAGTGCGCAGTAGATAGTGATTGTGGTGATGACGGTTGCACAGGTGACATGTCGTTCCGTTATACAGTCTTCCCGCTGGGTGCCTAGCGCGCCGACCCCAGGTCGCGGCATACCCCCCAACACACAAGCACGTGCACTGACACCCTCACCCGCCCCACATCACCCCATCACCTCACCAACGCACCCACAATTCTGCCGCCATCGTCACGTCACAGCCGTTTCGGCACACGAGGAGCATTTGCAAGTCACTTTCACAACCGTGAAAGTGACGCCGCATCGATACCCAACCGCGGACGTCGATGCCAGTGACCTTGCCCACGCGTTCAACGAGCACGTCGGACACATGGGCGTGCGACAGGCACCATCGCTCTCCTGTCTATATGTTTACCCATCCCATTGTGCCACTAATTCGGTCGTGGTGCCACTCGATCATATCGATGTGTAGTCTCGCGTGCAGCGTTGTTCAGCAGGAGGGGGACGATGAGGGAGGGGGATTACGGCGAGGGGAAGTACGAGGAGGAGGGGGGGAGCGACGAGGAGGGGGGGCAGGAGGGGGATATGGATGTGGAGGATATGGAGCGATGGAGAATGCCTTCCTCCTCCTCAATCCTTCTCCTCCTCGTCCTCCCTCCCTCACCGTCGCTCTAGTAGTCCATCCTCATCCCCCCCCCCCCCCCCCCCCCCCCCCACCCCCCTCCTCAATTCTCCATTCTTTCCTTCCTTTCACCTCGCTCACCATCCTCGGACCCCCCCCACCCCCCCCCCCCCCCCCCCCTTGCGCCCCCACCGCGTCGAACCGCCTGATCCCCCCCCCCCCCCCCCACCCCCCCCCCCCCCCCTCCCCCCACCCATACTCCCCCCGCCCGGCTTCTCCCTCAGGGGGGAAGGTCTGTATCAGATAAAGTGCGTCCCGTCAGGCATTTTGCCTCTCCCTCAGGGGGGAAGGTCTGTATCAGATAAAGTGCGTCCCGTCAGGCATTTTGCCTCGGGCGCTACCTATCGCTGGACAAGTCTCGGGCGGTCCACGCGCCCAGCCTCGTGGACTGCAGCGAGCTGGTCCGTCACGTGTGACGCATGCGCAAACATTCCCTCCACCGCCCATTCCTCCTCCTCGTCCTCCCCCTCTGTATCCCCCCTCTTCCCCCTGCGCCTCGTCACCCTCGTCCGTATCGTGCGCCTCCGTCCCCCCTTCGGGTAGCTCGGTACGTAGATGTGTAAATTTGTAGGTAAGTCGGTAGATGGGCCGATCGGCAGGTCGGGCATAGGTGGGTAATTTTCGCGTGACGGTCGCGAGGTGTGTGGGTATGTTGGGCGGCAGACGGTCAGTCACGTAGCTATGGGTGTATGGTTGAATACGTGCGTAATGATTGCATGTATGTATGTAGGCACGTGTGTATGTATGTACGTCTATATAGATGCAGGTATGTATGCATGTGTGTACATATATATATATGTATGTATGTATGTACGTATGTATGTATGTACGTATGTATGTATGTATGTATGTTTATGTGTATGTATATATGAATGGATGCATTGATGTAAGTACGTGTGTATGTAGATACGTATGCATACATACATGTACGTATGTATGTATGCATGTTTGTACGTGTGTGTAAACGTATATGTATGTCTGTATACATGCATGCATATAAATATGGATATATACATAGGCATGGGTGTGTATATGCCCGCATACGAATATCTCACGTACATCCCACGTGAGAGTTACGTGAGGTCAGCTGGTATATCTCACATACATCTCACGTGAGATGCCCGCGGGATGTAGCAACTGACCCCGCGAACATCTCACGTGATATGCCCGTGAGATGTAACGACTGGCTTCGCGACCATCTCACGTGAGATGTACGTGATATGTATCTACTGACCTCACGAACATCTCACGTGATGTCCACGTGAGATGTCCGTGAGATGCAGCGACAGACCTCACTAACATCTCACGTGATATCTATGTGATATGTCCGTGGGGTACTGCACCCCACGGCGCGTGATTGGCGCGCGGCCCCTCTCCCAGGTCGCCGCGCTCATCAGCAGCATCCCGTCGCTGGAGTGCAACTGCAGGCCCATGCGCGATGCGCTCCAGACCTGCTTGGACAGGTTCGCATGGGCCCAAGTGCGGCCACGAAGAGGGCGGAGTTTGGGGGGGTGGGGATTGGTTCAAGCAGAGGGGTGTGCGGGAGGGCGATGACGCGTCATCGCCATCAGCCCGAGCACTACCAGATGCTGGGCATCCCCACCCCCCTCAGAACGCCACCTTCTCCATAACGTGGCCTCGCTCCCCGAGGTGCCCCGCCGCCCACAAAGAGAGGGGCAACGTCGCGGTCGCCGACCGCGCAGGCAGCATGGCCGACAAGATGAACACGTTGCTGGTTCATCTGCGCCGCCTGTGAGACAGTCCCGCGCGGCGCCGCCAGGCCGAACGACGACAGCGAACGGGGCGGTGGGGGGGGCACTTCGTTTTTGTTGGGGAAGGTGAACCACGTTGACTGGGGCAATCGCTCGCCACGGCCTTCTCGGAAGGCTGGCGAAGACGGCGGACGCCCCATTCGACAGGTTTAGCCCCCCCCCCCCCCCCCTATGGCTGTTCTTCGGCGCCCCCCATCTCCCGTTAGGCTTTCGGCCGGTGCTCCAGGATGCAGGCCCTCAAGTTGCAGGAGATATGCGACCAGCTGGGAGTCAAGGACTATCACTGTGTGAGGGTTGGTGATGGTGGTGATGGTGATGATGTAGGAGATGAGGACGGGGGTGCGCGATGATGATGATAGGGGGAGAAGATGGGTGAGGAGAGGGATGGCGACTAAGGAGATTGATGGATTGAGGGTGTGTACACTCACGGGGGTGAGGGGCATGGCGACCAAACGGAGTATGCGGAGGAGGAGGGCGACGACATGACGGACGAGGAGGAGGGCGAGGAGGAGTAGGAGGAGGAGGAGGCGACGAGGACGAGAAGGGTGATTGCGAAGAGGAATGGGGGAAGAGGCGGGGCACCACATGGTGGGGGGGTAGGGGGGTAGTCGCGCCAGGGCGGCCGCGCCGACGCCTGCCGCGACGCGCTCGACTACTACGACGGCGACGACAAGCACGAGTACACTGCGCCGTGGCACGGCGACGGCCAGAAGTGCAACGACGGTGCCAAGAAGCGCAACTACGACGACGCCTGGCACTACGACGACCAGAAGCGCAACTACGGCCAGAAGTGCAACTACGACGACCAGAAGCGCAACTACGACGACCAGAAGTGCACATGCGACGACCAGAAGTGCAACTACGACGCCACGAAGCGCAACTACGGCACCTGGCACTACGACGACCAGCCGCACCGCGCGTGGCACGGCGGCGACCAGCAGGCGCGGAGCCACGATGACATCGTCGACGACCGCGAGATGAAGGACACCCCGTGACCGCCAGGGGTCTGAGGATATGGAGGGAGGTGATAATGACGATGATGACGGTAATGATGAGAAAGAGGAGGGGGGGGGGGGGGGGATTATGATGATGATGAAAAACCGGATGTTGATGAGGATGATGATGATGATGATGATGAAGAATGCGATGCTGACAATGATGAGGATGGGTCTGCGGAGGGAGGGTGGTGGCGATGATGAGGGCGACGAGGGCGGTGATGGCGGCGAGGATGAGTGCGCGAAGAAGGGCCATGAGAGAGGAGGGTGAACAGGATGATGAGGATAATGAACCTAAGGAGGACACCCACTCCCCATCTTCCCCATCATCCCCCTCTAGCTCCACATCCGTCATCCTCCTCATCCTCGTCAGTCTTCTACTCACCGCCAATCCCCCCCTCCTCCGCGTAGTCCCCATCTTCACCGCGCCCACCAATCCGCCTAACCGCCCTCGTCCGCGGCCCCCTCCTGCTACTCGCCCGCGTCCTCTCATAGCCTCCTTGCCCAATCCATCGCCACCCTGCCCCATAGCAACGCGCGCTCCCCGCGTCGCCATGTCCATCCGGCCTCGCAACCGCACCAACACCTCCACGCGTACCCCTCCTGTCGGAGCATCCGTCTCATCTCGACCTCCCGCAGCCATTTTGGCTCGCTGGTGTTGCTGGCCCGCGCTCGGCTTCCACTCCAGCTCGCGCCGTTCCCTCCGCGGCATGAACTCGCCGCTCGTGCAGGCCCTCAAGGACACGTTCGTCCAGGCGCGGTGGGCGGAGCTCCAGCGCGCTCGCAACCGCGCGCTGTTCCGCATCTTCGCGGACGTCATGCCGCGGCGTGCCCTGGCTCATTCGAGCACGCCGCAGCGGGACATGCATTGCCTGCAGGTGTTCGGCGGCCAGGGCGGTGCTCATGCAGTGTCGCACGAGGTGCATGCGCTCGGCCTGCAGAGCTTCGCCTACGACGAGCTCGGACACCACGCCGCCGACATCAACCCTGGTGTGCTCAAATGGGCGCTGCGCCTCGTCCCGCGCGGCCCGGTGTGGGCGACGCTCAAGTCGACGTCGCGCTGCGAGCGGATCGCCGCGACTGCGGTGGCCATCGCTGTGCTGGCGTGGTTGAGTGGCGGGGAAGTCCGCATGACGACGAGATCGGGCGAGGAGACCAAGTTGTGGGCGCGCCAGCCGATTCACCACGTGGTCAGCGTGCTGGCGCCAATCATGTACATCACGTACCTGGGCGCGTTCGGGGCCTGCGGCGCGCAGCCGTTAGAGGTTGTCTCAAGCCATCACCTCTTCAAGGGCTTGCTGCAGGACTCGGTGGCATTCCACCTCCTCCTCCTCATCATCATCATCATCATCAGCAGCATCGTCCTCCGTATCCTCACCATAGCCTCACTCGAACCCCATCTCGCCTATTCCTCCTCCCCCCCCTCCTCGCCCCTCCATATCCGACCTCGCTTGCCCCCTCGCTCCCCTCGTCGTCGTCATCTTCCTCCTCCGCCTTCCCCTCCTCCTCCTACTGATCCCTCATCTCATCATTCTCACGCCGACGAGGACGAGCCCGATGGTCCGTTCACGCCGATCAAGAGCCACAATTATTGTGGCTATACCGCTGGGTTCTGCAAAGCGGTGGCCAGCATCATCCACTCTATCCACGGCGCGCGCTCGCCCTCGACGATCGCAGATTTTTTTCGGGCGGGCCCACATCAGCGCGAGGACCCGTGTCGCACGTTGGGACCTTGCAGGTAGTCGACTGCGTGATAGACAACGGGCCAGGGTGGATGAGGAGGAGGGGGGGGATGTACTGATGAGGAGGGGGATGAGGGATGAGGAATGTGGATGCTCATCGTCCTGCCCCTCCTCCGCCTCATCATCATTTGCATTTTCCCTTCCTATGCTCCGCGTCCTCCCCATCCTTATCCTCCTCTCCCGCATCGTCCTCCCCCTCATCGTCTTCATCCCTCCCAGCCTCTGTCTCTTCAATGTTTCATCGCAACCTCCTCCTCCGATTCCTCATCCTTCTACTCCTCCGGCTGCTCATGCGATCCACCGACGCAGTCGCATTGCCCCCCCCCCCCGATCGACGCCGAACGGGTTCTGCGGCGACGCGGCCCACAGGACCGTGCCCGAGAGTTCTCCGAAGAACTCGTTCCCGTCGGCTGCGTGCGATTCGACCGTGGGCCCAGGTGCCACCGCGTCGGAGTTCGACAGCCAGTCTGCGCGCGATGTGGTGGCGCCTGTAGTGAAGCGCCGCAAACTTGTTGTAAAGACGCCAGATCCTAGCTATCGCCGCATGTGCTCGTCCACGCCCAGCGCGGACAGCGGCCCCAGCCCTGCGCCCGTCGCCCCGCCGCCTGGAGTTGTCCGCACGGGGGGCGCGAGTACAGAGCCTGGCGACGCGCGCGATGATGCGGACTTTGCCGCGCTAGCAGTGTGGCTTAAGTTAGGCTAGGTGTGTTCGAGGTTAGGCGCACCCCGATCTATGGATTTGGAGCAAAGGCCGATTTGAGGCCGGCTACAGTAGGCTGACATCTAGGGGTCGAACGCATCAGAGCAAACGAGCACCGCGAGCAAACCAGCAAGGCAACCCCGCAAAGCAATGCTCGGCCCTGCGTTTCGAGAGTGCTGGCAGACTGCTTCAGCACGCGTGTGCCTTGATCGGTTGGACGGCGCGAGTGGCGTCGAATCGTGCCGATGGGGATCGTCGCGACATGCGCAGTGCATGGGATGTATGGTCGCGACGGTCGACGCTATTACACGTTTAAGCGTTGCCGTCGCCAGCGTGTGCCAGACGCCAGCTTCGCACGTGCACAGCTTGAAAAACGTGTCGCTTGATGCCAGGCGCGCGGCTCCCCATGATGATGGGTTTGATGATATGATGCGATGAACTATTTGCAGGTACAGCGTGTGGTTGGATGTATGACATGACACGGGGGGACAAGGGGGTGCAGGGGCATGGCTGGAGGGGATGAGATGCAAGGCGAGACGCTGGTCGCCGTCGTCGTGTCGTCAGAATTCGGGGGGAGTGCTAGTAGTCAGTCTCGCTCGTTCTCAAACGTACACGTGCTAAATTTTACTCCAAACAAACTTGCTCATGCTCAGACTCACTCGTTCGCAGGCGTGGAGCCGAACCCCACGGCGCACCGATGCCCGAACCCGATCATGCGCAGGTGGCCGACCGTGACGGCGCGTTCTCGTATTCGGGCACCGTGTCCACCCCCCCCCCGCTCGTTATATTACACCCCGCCCACATGTCCATCACTACCCCGCTGCAATCATGCACGCCGTGTGCCCCTCCAACCACTCGCCCCCGCTCCCCTCCCTGCGCGTGCCGCTGCCCACGCATCGCCAATGGCAGCCGTGACGTCCCCCGTTGGTTCCCTCATTTCGCCCCGCGCGGTCGCAGGAGTTGGGCCTGTGGCTGTTCGACAGCGAGAGCGAGGACGATGCGGAGGTTCCCGCGAAGGCCATGCATGCGGATGCTGTCCCTGGGCGCAAGCAGTGGCTGAAGGCCACCGTGTGTCCGTGATTGTCGCCTCCGTGCCACCCGTTCCCTTCATCCGATTCCTCCTTCTCCACATCCGCTTCCTATAATTGCCCTCCCCCGCCTGATCGTGCGTATCATCCTCCTCGCCAGTCGTCTCCTCCAGCTCAGTGAATGTGGATGGTGAGAATGGGTGAAGAGGAAATGTCCACCTGTCCCCCATGCTGAAGGAATATGGGGAGGAAATGCATGAAGAGGAGGTGGTAGGAGAGGCATGATGCTGAGGAGGAGGGGTGATGGATGGGGGAGGAGGGGGGGGGGGGGGGGGCGTGGGGGGGGGGTGGTGTGTGTGTGGTGGTGTGTGTGTGTGTGTGTGTGTGTGTGTGTGTGTGTGTGTGTGTGTGTGTGTGTGTGTGTGTGTGTGTGTGTGTGTGTGTGTGTGTGTGTGTGTGTGTGTGTGTGGGGGGTGGGGTGGGGTGTGGTGGGGTGGGGTGGGGTGCGTGTGGGGGTGGGTGTGGGTGTGGGGGGGGTGGGGTGGGGGGGTGGGTGGGGGGGGGGGGGTGGGGGGGTAGATATCAACGCGGCCATTCAGTTTTCCAGGATACAGGCCCCGTGGGTCGTTTCATGTGGCCTCGACCAAAGGCAGAGCGGGTTTCCTCGAAGACGCAGGCCAGGGTCGAGCCCAAGAGGGCCAAGGCAACGGCCGCAGCCAAGGCTAAGGCCCAGACGGCGACGGCCAAGGCTAAATCCCAGGAGGCGAAGGCCACGCCCGCGCCTGCATCTGTAATGAAAGGCCCAGGGAAATCGAAGTGCACCGCGTCAGCAGATCTCCCGCGCAAGCTTCCTCATAAGACGTTCGGTTACTTGAGTGCGGTGTGCGCTACGGCGAAATCATACATACTGTTTCCTGGTGGAGATTCGAAATTGTTGACGCTTCGCGAATCCCCGCCAGCCCATCCAGAAACGGTGCCCAAAGGAATTGTCTGGGTCCGGGAAGTGGGTAGCACGCAGAGGACGCAAGTCTGAGACATATTGGGGTATCTGGAGCCATCTTGGATGCCATCTTGGGCTCTCCAAAACGTTCGTGGAGTCATCGTAATCCGTGACCCCCCTCCAAGCGGCCAACATGTGGCTACAACATTGGTGACGTAAATGAGTTGGCATTCTCGCCGAGGCCTCTTGGGGCATCGTGTGTGCCTCTGGGGGGTATATTGGTGCAGATTGGGGGTATCGTGGGGGGCATCATGGGGGCATCGTGGGGGCATCTTGGGGCCGCGGTGATGCCAGCGTGGGACCTCCTGAGACATCCGTGGCGCTTCTTGGGGCCATAGTGGATGCCATCGATCAAACTAAATGGTGATATCAATTAGCGTCGTCCCCAGGGGGTCAAAATGGGGCCAACGCCATAGCAACACCAATGTGATTGACTTCCCCGTCGAGGCTGGTTTGGCAGTCTCACCGAGGCCACTTGGAGCATCTTGGGTGCCCATGGGGAGTCGCTTGGGGCCGCTGGGTGACCTGCTGGGGGCCTCTTGGGGCCAGCTTGGGACATCGTGGGGCCTCTCAGGGCCTCCTCGACACTTCTTGGGGCCATCCTGAAGGGTATCGATCAACCACGAGGAGTGCATTAATTAGCCCCCCCCCCAGTATGCCAACATGGTATCAGCACCTCAATAAAACCAATGGTTCGGGCGTCATCGCCGGGGCCATGTTGACATCCTCGCTGAGGCCTCTTGGGGCATCGCGGGTGCCGCTGGGTGGTAGCTTGGGGCCCCTTGGAGGCGTCGTGGGTGCATCGTGGAGGCGTCGTGGGGGCATCTTGGGACCGCGCGGGGCCGCCTTGGCGATTCGTAGGACAATCGTGGATGGGGTATATGAGAGACGTGCGGGATTAGCATTGCCCCCGCAGGAGGCCAACATGGTGGGGGTCAAATCCATAGTCACATTAATGATGTTGTCGTCCTCGTCGAGGCAGTGTTGGGTGCTATGACACCTCGTACTTCCCCTCAGGTACATGGGGAGGGGGCACGGGGGGGGGGGTAAACCCCATCCCCGAAGGGGGGGGAAGGATGTGTGGAAGAGGAAACGCCTTAAACCACCGATGCCCAGACGGCTGGGTGGATAGCACTTGTTCTGCGAGGTGACCTCGTCCAGGGCACCCCAGCATGCTGAGATTTGTGCGCAAATAATGCGCCGTAGTTCTAAGTTTGGCCTGACTAAAGTAGATGCCCTGGCGCATCGCGCCAAGGTGCTCGGGCAGTGAGCCCTGTATATCAGAATGCAGGTTCGGACAGTCATCGTTTATATGTCCGAGTCTGATGCTGGGGCGCCCAAATTCGAATGTCACACTTGGGGAGTGGCGCCTCATCTCGTAGGGGTGTTATCGCAGCGCGTGTCCGAATTACGTGACTGTGCCAATAGCGTGTTGTAAACGTGCTAGTGCCACCGTTGGGTGCATGTCGTGTTCTCAGTGCCCGAACCGCCCCTGTTCTCGGTTCACATACCTCCAGTGTTCTCGGTTCCCACACCTACACTCACATGTTGTGGGCGCGCGTCGCCATCCCCGACAGGCCTGCCCCCCGAGAGCAGAACGACTGCAGCGCAGGCAGCTGCGCGTTGTGAGGTGGCGGTAGTATACATACACCATATGATGATGATGCGTATATGGGGATGTGGTAGTGTCGGCGAATAGGGTGGAGGTAGGTATATTACATGTGTAATGTGGATAAGTTGGGTGTACCGCTGATGATTATTATGATACGGAGTTTAGTAAATTATGAGTCCAAACAGGTGGGTTCACCACTACACATTGCATATCTTACAACTTACACACGTTACGCGGTTCAGACAATGGATTTCAGACATTCGCGTTGGTGAAATTTGGGGTACACGCTTCAGAATGGTATTGCACATGTAATCTCACCACCACCTCGCGTGAGATGATGGTGAGATTCGAATCTCACCAAAATCTCACGTAAGCCTTACGTGGGACGTTTGTGAGATTTTGGTCCCACAAACGTCTCACGTGAGCCTTGCGTGGGACGTTTGTGAGATTTGGGTCTCGCCAATATCCCACGTGAGATCTCCGTGAGATTTATATTTCCGACCATATGATACATTATAGTTAATGATATTTAAAAATAGTATGGTTGGTGAAATTCGTAACATGGCAGTCACACGTATGCCAACGTATGCGGTGAGTAAGTATTGCATTTGAATCCTGAATGCGAGGCACGTTTGCACACCACTACCACTATGTACGCAATCGTAGTCACATGAACAGTGTGCACGGCGAGCGTACACCGTGAGCGTATCACAGCTGCAAGCAAACATTATAGGTAGTTAATGTCGCGTGTGGCCCTAGGACTCGGTGCTTCTGGGAACCTCGGGCTGCCCTGGACTGTGCCATGGCATCTGCGCGGGCATCATGGTCATGGCCATGGTAACGCAATGCCCCCCCCCCCTGGATTTGGTTTCGCACGCATGTGAACCGCGTGCAAGCAGTCCAGCGCCCCCCCCCCCCCCCCCCCCATAGCGAACCAACTGCACGCCGTAAGCTGCTTGGGTTCAAGATCGTTCTGGAACGTTTCTCCCAGCCGTGTAACACTAGCGGTTGCCATGGCGCCCAAGAAAGTGATCGGCAAGTTTTCGAAGGCCAAGGGTAAGGCCAAGGCTGCCGCGAAGCGCGTGGCTGGTGGTGATGAGGACCACCCGCTCAAAATCAAGTTGCTCCATTCAATTTCGCTGGCACGCCTGGGGCTTGGGGCCCGAAGTGTTTTGGGTGGTGTGGGGCTGCGTATACACATCTATGTACAATCCACTAGGCTCGCGTTCTTCGTCGCCCTGCTGCTGCGCCGCCAGCGGAGATCGCCCCGCGCAACAAGGGGACCGCGGTGCTCGCGCAGATGGCCAGTGGCTTGACCGTCGATCAGAAGATCGAGCTCTTCAGGCGCCGCGTAGAAGGAGGATGAGGATGATGAGGATATTGAGGGACATACTGGCGATGATGATGACGGTGTATTAAGTGGAGACTGTCGAAGATGAGACGAACATGGGATGATGAGGGACCGATGCTGAGCATGGGAGGGTTGAGGAGGACGTTGAGGAGAATACGATCGTACTGACGATGTTCGGTTGCCGTTTTGACATGCAATAACACCGCTGCCAGGCGCGTGGGCGACCCCGGGGACTTGCGGCAGCTCAAGGCGATCTTCACGGCGGACGAGCCCCGCAAGCTCTACGGGCGCTTCCGCACGGCTCGCCAGTACAACCAGGGCGTGGCGACCAAGTATGACCAGGTTTCGTGTTCAATTATAGTACAGGTTCACACGGTTGTGGGGTGTGGTGACACGCTGTAATGCTGATGCCGAGATGCATGCTGTGCGAGTGTGCATGGGTGCGGCTCATATGGCCTCCAGGGGTCTCCAGACTGGCTCCAGGGGGATGTCCGACGCCCAGATGTCGTCCAGGATACCTTCAGGGCGCCTGCAGGAGGGTAACGAGGATCCGGATGAGGAAGACAAGGATGATGATGAAGATGGACGGCTGATGGACGGTAAAAGGCGGATCGGTGGTGGATGGAGGAGACGGCATGCGGGGTGATGAGGGGGAGGAGGAGGGCGAGGCGTACGCGGATGGTGATGACGTTGAGGATGATGAGGGTGAGGGGATCGATCCCCTCCGAAGGTGGCGAACGACAAGACGTCCAAGGGTGGGGCCAAGCGGGCCGCATCGGTCATGCTGGTGGCCTGGCTGGTGGACCCAGAGATGGACGAGCTGTTCTGGGACGTGGCCCAGGGCATATCGTACAGCGAGGGCGTCACCAGCGAGTCCACATGGATGTCGCAGAAACAGCTGTGCGACAAGTACGGGGAGAGCGACGCGGAGGAGATGATAGATCAAGGGCTGGTGCAGGTTCCGAGTGCTCGCGCCTCCTGTCCTCTACACGCCCTTTGTATCGCTCTCAGCGTCCTTGGTATTCGTCTCCAAGTCGTCAGCCGCCTCGCGCGCACCCCTCACCCATATCCTCATCCCACTCATCATTATCCTCCTCATCCGTTCCTCATCCTCCTCGTCCTCCGTTCGTCCTCCTCATCCTCATCCTCATCATCTTTCCCCCCCCCCTCCTCCTCATCCTCCGTATCGGTGTCCTCCTCCTTCTCCTCCTCCTCCCCCTCCTACCTCCGCATCATCCGCCTCGACCTGTTCCTCCTCTCCCTCATCGTCCTCCTCCTCGGGTCAGGCCGCGTCCGAAGAACCCGCGACGGAAGCGGTGCCTGGGCCAGGTCGACAGCTTCAAGCGCTCGGTGCAGCGCAGCAAGACGACGAAGGCCCTTCTCGGTAATCCACGCCATGCGTACCCGATATATGGTTTCCAATTTCGTTACTTAGGTGCCCCTCTCTTCCTGGCACAGTGGCCCCTGGCCGTCTGGTATGTTCATGTGCACCCCTGGCGCCCTTTTCCTTCTGAAATAGCAATGACGTCCCCTGGTCCCTGGAACCTAGGGCGGCATTCCCAAACCGGTGCATCGTTGCCGTTCGATTGCGAAGATGAGAATGGTGATGTGGCGGCTGGATCAGGGTGATTACGATTAGGCTTGGGATGAGTATGAGGGTGGGTAGGATAAGGTAAGGATGCGGGCGATGTGTAGGGTGGTGATGCCGATGCTGGTGTGTAGGATGAGGGCGTAATAATGACGATGCTTCGCTATCGAACCGCCCGACCCAGGCATCTGGCAGGAGAGCCGCCAGCCAGGGCCAATACGGCATGCTCGCCGACTCGCTGGCCAGGGTCGGCATGCAGGACTGCGCTCGCGCAGGTTCTCACCGATTCGCAACCGAAGCGTCTGACAACTCTCTGTCGTCGGCGGCTCACGGGTTTGATGTCTCTTGCCTTCGCCCATTGCCATCGTGCCCAATCCTCGTCCATCATCTCTTCCCCCACCCGCGCCATCCTTCCCATTGCCTCCCCCGCATTCCTACTACCCCGCGTCCGATTCGCCAGCCTATCGGCCTAACCAATTTCAGGTGGTGCGCGTTCTTTCGGAGGAGGTCGCGTGATAGTAGTGTCCGATTGGCCGTTGCTGCCCCCCCCCCCCCTTGCAAGCCAGGCTCGTTCCGCGCCGTTGGCCTGGGCGCCCTCGGCGTGGACGACGCTGGCGACGCCGACGACGAGGAGGGCGGCGGCAACAAGCGTGGTCGCAGCAGCAAGGGCCGCGGCTCCACTGCTGGCCGTGGCAGCGGCGGCAGGGGCGGCCGCGGCGGCAGGGGCCGCGGCCGCGGCAGCGGCGGCCAGCGCCCAACGGTGAACCAGGATCGCAGTTTCCCCATACGATGATGATGCATGACGTTGAACCCCCTTGCGCACATCGAACTGTTTGTTTCGTTTGGGACATCCTGGACGAATTGCGTGTTTTGCTTGAGACATGCTCTACGATGTGTGTATCGCGCTTGAAACGTCATCGACCAGTTGTATGTCTCGCTTGAGACATCCGTGGTGCAGTGATTGGTTCGCGTGATGCATGTGGAATGCTGGCGAGGATTACGGTGATTCGGACATCTGGCACGCGTGCGGGTCTGTCAGAGTCTGCGGACTGGCGTAAGCCTCATGACTGTATGATCACGTGCACGCGTATGAAACGCGTCTGGCTGCGCCGTGGTGCAGATTGGTTGACGGTCGCGTGCGCGCGTGATATGGGTGTGGTCACGACATGTATGCACACACCGAACGAACATGATTCACATACACGCATCACGGACAATGTGTGGCATTGTGCGCAACGCCGCGCATGCTGAAACAATTTTCTTCAGCAGATGCACGAGTTGGTGTCGATCGAGTCGACGAGCCTCATCGGGAAGGAGCACTGCATCGAGAAGCTGCGCGAATTCCAGACGACGGGCCAGGCGGTCGTCGCGCTGGGGGGCGCGGTCGGGGTTGGGTTCTCAACCACGCTGGCAAGGACCGCATTTCTGTGTCCGAGAGTTGTTTGCAGCGCGTTGTGTTACCATCTACGGGCTGAGATCGATTCGGGAGGCTGTTTGAGATATCCTGTAGCCCGATTGGGATCTGGGGTCGCCCGTTTGAGGCCGCTCGAGAGAATCGATATCGACTCGGGGTACGGACTACGTTTCATATTCCGTTTGGTTCGATGTTACGTTTCGCTCCATCACGAGCGACTCCGAACGTGTATCGAGCATGTTTCGTCTGTCGCGTGTCAAACACATATCTAGAACACGTCCAACGCCAAGAAGGTCAGCGTCCGCCTCCAGAAGAGCCTCGGGGACGCGAACTTGTGTTTGATGGAGCCCGACGGCGAATCGCCCCAGTCGCTGAAGAGGCTGACGGTGCTCTTCAAGAAGCACTTCCAGGATGTGGTCGGCCTGGACCTTCTGCACTAAGTAACGGGGCGGGCCTGCGAGGCCACCGCACCAGAGGCAACTTGGCATAAGTGCCTACTTTGAAACATACGGGTCCAAAGCGGCCCCGCACGGGGCCACGTGTTTTTTTGTGCACGGTCGGGTCATCACAGAGAACGAGCCCCGACGGGGTTCGATCAAGCGATGCCGAAATTGCCTCTGGTGTTACACTAACGTGTTTTCAGTGCCTGCCTGCGGCACGGACCGTGGCGGCATGCGATGTCGCCAGAAATGCAGCGCACCCGACCAGTGGCACACCAATGTCCCATGGGGTGCAAGCACGTATACACAATTGGGTACACACGGGTACACCTACACGCATCCATCCATCACATACAAATATACCAATGCACGCACGCGTGCATACAGCGACACTCACAACCACATGCGCACACCCACATGTACGCACATAAATGCAGACATGTTCACACGTGCACCCACATGCAACACCTTCACCACCGCGTGTATACCATAACTGCACGGGCGATGGAGTTCGCGGGTGTGCATGACGATAGGTATGGGGCTTCGGGGCTTGACCATCACACTGTAGGGTGCCATCTGGATCAGGGGTGAGGGTGCATGTGCAGAGTGGCATGCGTCACCCCTCCACCTTCGGACACACCGCTGGCATTTCGGCAGAAGCTGCTGGGCGCGTGTTTTGTCTCACGATGCCTCGGCGGAAGAGGCGCCGCAGCGATGATGCAGGCGCAGACAGCGATGCCGCGCACTCGTGGGATGAGCCAGCTCTGTCCGGGCAGGTGCCAGATCTTCTGGTGGACTGGGCGCGGGGCAATATCCCAACTGTACAAGTGCAAAAGAGGTTACGCGCATCGCTGATGGACGGGGCCACGTGTCCCGAGGTAGCCGAGTTGGCGAAGCATGGTGGACATGGACGCTGCCCCCAAACTATACATAGGGATCTGACTCGTACGTTCCTCAGCGACATGCATATGCCGCACCCGCAATCCCTGGTCGGTGTAGCCACGAACCCCCGTACTACGAAACCGTGCCATCCACGGGTGGACATGCCATTGCCTCACGATTGGTTCTCTCACTTGTTCCACCACTACCGTGACGAGTTTTGGCGGCTATTTGCAATTTCAGATGTCGAGACGTTCTGGAGTGGCGCGAGCAGGTTCGGGGTTCGATCTTTGGAAACTGTGTGATACCACCATGCAGCACTACGGTTGCACGCGTATGCACTCTGCCGCATGATCACGTGCATACCGAAATACTTCACGCGCGGGCGTACAGTATCATATGTATGCGCACGTCTACGTCGCAACCTTGGCGTATTGCCATACACACGCCTCGAAGGGAATGGTCTCACGCATGCGTCTACCTTCATTTGTATCTCACCATACACACACGCGCGCATACATATCACCATGTGGCTGCAGTACGCGTGCAATGCGCGATTTCCAACGTCTCGCAGTCATGATCCCAAATTGAGAGGCCACCCTGTGTGGCCCAAGCCCTCCTGCAACAAGTGGATGGTTCCGTTGCGGGTCCATGGGGATGGGGCCGAGTTTGTATCTCGGGATAGTTTGACTACAATCAGTATGTCGTCTCTCATGTGCGTGGGAACGGCTAGGTCCATTACTCCTCTATTCTTGGCGTCGTGGCCCCTGAGCTGCGCGACGCCGCCCGACACGTGGCATGAGATTTAGGAAATGCTGTGCTGGTCCTTTACCGCTCTGGTTGAAGGCCGCCACCCTGCGCGCGATCGCAAGGCTTCGCCGCGACCCCGCCATCCGACGCGCGAGGGCGGGGTGGGTGGGTGGGGGGGGGGGGGAGGGGAGGGGGGGGGGCGCGACCGACGTAAGGCCGACCGAAGGTTGGTAACACCTAGGATGCGGGAGGGCAAATGTAACGGATAGGTTGGGAGGGGGTGGTGGTGGTGGTGGTGGTGCCAGTTTCAACAGCCGAAATCAGTTGTTCGCCAATTCCCCCACGCGCGCGTGCATTAGGGAATGCGGTCTGGCGTGACAATGAGTTCGAGCGGGGCTCACAACGGTGACGGGATCGTGGAAAGTTGTTGTGCAGCGAGCAATGCCCGTTCAAAGCATTCATATATGGGATCCTGGGTGACCTGGATTTCTTTACCAAAGATTTCGGCATGCCGCGCAACAACTGCAATGCATTCTGTTTCCGCTGTCGTGCAGGTCGCTCTCCGACAGCTCGTCCATGGACGAGTTTTACCCAGGTGGGCTTTTTATTTCACGCTTCCTCTCCCCTCGTCCAGCCTCGCGTTCTCTGTCTTGCTTCCGCCTGTTCTAGCCAAATCGCTTCGCGATAATAATACGGCATCCCCAGATTGGGCAGCCTGGACATTGGTCTACGATGGAGCGACGTGGCCCAACACTGGCTCATACGGATCATCCCGTATTCAGGTTGATTCCTGGGGTGACCCATTGGACGTTGTGCCTGGATCTTCTCCATGCGCTCGATCTCGGTGTAAGCCAGCACGTGATTGGGAACATGTTGTACGAGCTTGT